AATCCACAAATTTAATTCTAGTTTTTATTCTAAAAATATGAGATACCAAGAAGTACAATTTTAACTGAAATTGCTCTCTTTTCTAAAGTTGCCATTACTCTGATAGGCCCAGAACTGCTTCATAGCCTTTTGGGAAATTTAGCAAAAAATCAAACTCTCGTTATCAGGACCAGTGGAGAAGGTCTTTCATAAAAGTTCACTCTGCACAATGTCTGTGATAGATGACTGTTGAAAGCAGGGAAAGATCTACTTTCTTAAAAAAATAGTGTTCTGGGATCCCCACCCTGGTGCTGGTGACACCCCTCCACTCAGAGCACCTAACACATTCTGAGATAATTCACCAATTATCAGATATAAGTAGTTCAACTCTGTTGCTATAGCAGCCAATGTTTAATTGTAGAAGCAAGCCATTTTTAATGAAACTGTCTCATTTCAGAAGGTGGGGGAGATAGTAATCCTCACTGGCTCTTTGATCCGAATTCTGTAGCTGTTCAATAACTTGGCCTGATGGGCCACTGAAGAAAATAAGGAAGCATCCTGCCCTCATGTTCATAAACCTATGTGCTTGCCAGTGTCTGGTCTCTGCTCCAGTAATAAGACTCAAAGATGGGAGCCACCTGGACTCCATAAAGTAGAGAGAAGAGTTTGAATCCACTGCTCTGGCCAATGATTAGATTTAATCATCTTGTCTCCTCTACTAAAATATATCTTACCTGAGGGCAGCCATGTCCCATTTATTATTTTCCACTATATAAATGTTGGTTGAATAAACGATTGATGAAATAAAGGAAGGAAAGATATTTTTCCATTATGTAATAATGGAGGTTCACTTTAGATCTGAAGTCAAACTTTCCTCAAATCCACTTTGTTAATATCCTGACATGATTTCAGTGACTATGAGTTAAAATCCGAGCACTTGGAATTGGGAAGTGCACATTAGATTGTGAAATGCGGACTGAGGAGTGGTTTTCTCCATGGCACAATATCATCAGACTCTATACCTAGCGGTTGAATGGCATGGAAGGAAGAAGCAAGAAGAGGAAGAAAGAAGAAAATAAGAAGAAACAATATTTATATAGCACATCCTATCTAATAAAAGAGTAATATGCCAATTGACTGTCACTCAAACACACAAGATGGCTGCCCCCATGTGGACACAAGAGAGCCACCACAAGATGGCCTACAGGGGACGGCAGTTGGGAGTGATCATGCCTGAAAGGGAGGTCAGTTGCGGGTTATCAGGCCAGCAGGAGAGGGCAGTTGGGGGCGATCAGACCTTCAGAGGAGGGAAGTTGGGGGCAACCAGGCTAGCAGGGGAGCAGTGAGGCATCAATCAGGCTGGCAGGGGAGTGGTTAAGGGGTGATCAGGCTGGCAGGCAGAAACAGTTAGGGGCAATCAGGAAGGTAGTCAGGCAAGCAGTTGGGAGCCAGCAGTCCTGGGTTGTGAGAGGGATGTCCAACTGTCCGTTTAAGCCCGATCCCAGGGCCTAAATGGGCAGTTAGACATCCCTCAAAGGCTTGAGGGGTCCCAGACTGGAGAGGGTGCAGGCTGGGATGAGGTATACCATAAATTTCATGCACTGGGCCTCTAGTAATTTATAAAGAGCTTTCACATCTATCATATATTTAAGAATAATAAAAATAGCCGAAACCGGTTTGGCTCAGTGGTAGAGCGTCGGTCTGCGGACTGAAGGGTCCCGGGTTCGATTCCGGTCAAGGGCATGTACCTTGGTTGCGGGCACATCCCCAGTGGGGGGTGTGCAAGAGGCAGCTGGTTGATGTTTCTCTCTCATTGACGTTTCTAGCTCTCTATCCCTCTCTTCTCCTCTCGGTAAAAAATCAATAAAAATATATTTAAAAAAAAAAAAAGAAGAATAAAAATATATAGGAGTGTGATGATTTCCCAGAAATTGGAGAATAAATTCATGTATTTATTAAATTTGCTAAACTTCCTTCCTAATACAGAGAAAGCTTCCCTTAAGAGAACTGCATGCAGTAAAGGCCTGCTTTTAGGACAAGGACCTAGTGAAGATGGGCTGTCTAACCAGGGCCATCCTGCAGGCATGGGGAGAGCAGGAGTTACTAACTCCCTGGTGAGCCAAGGATATACAGGCAGTTGTTAATGCCAAGGACATGAGAGTGGGGCACAGTGAAGAGAGGAAAGTCCACATTTCTACTAGGAATGGAAGGTAGCTAACAGCTGAGCCAAATATCACTTTTATTGCCAACCCATCCCTGCCTTCTGCCCTGGCTTAAGTGCAAATAGTGAAGCAGAAACATCCCCCCCACCCCCCCGCAAAAAAAAAAAAAAAAAAGTAGAAAAACCACCCAAGATGATAGACATAATCCACTCCTGAACCATCAGGCATCTTCACAAATGCCCCAGAAAACTGTCATAGACCACTCCAATACCAACTACTATATGGCTTTAAATAAACTTTTCAGACCATTTTTTCTATATTCCATAATAAAAGTAATGAGACATCAACTATCCACTCCATCTCCTTGCCTCCTCCTAAACACACACACACACACACACACACACACACACATACACACGCACGCGCGCAGTCAAAGCTCAACTGTGTGAGCCTCTGTGCAAATCCAGACAGCTCTCCTTCCCTGTCCCACACAATGGAATGCACGCTATGAGGCAGCAAAATGCACCAAATGCCACAGCCTCTGGGGATCAGCATTTAAGGAACTTGGTTGGCATTTCTGTAATAGGAACCATCAATAGTACATTCTGGTTCAAAGGCACTTAGGGCTGGAATAGAGGAAACAATTTAGGGCACTTTTCCCCACCCCTTTTCAGAAATACTTTCTGTGGGAAAGAAGGAGGTGGGGCAAGAGAAAGAGAAGCAAAGAAAGAGGGGAAAACTGAGAAACAAGCCTTTGATATGGCGACTCTGCCTAAGGGAAAACACTCCATTAAGCTCATTTAAATATAAAACTAACAGAAAACTTACAAATGTTCCTAAAATAATATTTTTTCATTTACTCTACATTATTAAATAGAAAAATTATTCCAAATGGAATTCTTATCCAAAGACATAAAATAATGTAATTATTTTCCTGCTGAGAAACATGATACTGTTTATCTCAAAACAATATAAATAACTGTTACCTGAAATAACTATGAGTTCAGACACAAATCCTCAGAGTAAAGGCACAACTATAGTTACACAGTTCAGTGGAATAATTCAAATGAACAAAAAGCACAATTTGTATTCATTTCCCTCATTTTCAAAGGCTCTAAGGAATTATTTTAATTTACCAAGTTTTTTAAAACTATATGCAGCATGGATATTTTATATATTACAATTTATTTGATGAGAAATACATTATGTATATTTTTTAAAGTATCAGCTGTCACTAAAAGAGAAAATAGTGTTTACCCTATTCCCTGCAAGAAAGCCCCCAGTTCCCTGCAAGAAAGCTCTCTAAACCAGTTAGAACTTCTTAGTTCCTTAAAAGCCAGTGAAAGGAAGCTACCGTATTTTTCGGACCATAAGACGCTCCGGACCATAAGACGCACCAGTTTTTAGAGAAGGGAAATGAAGAAAAAAAGATTCTGAAACAAATAGTGTCCTAAAATATTTTATGTGCAGTCATAAACACATGTAATCAACCCTGTAAAGTAAACAGCAGCATTTAGAACCATTTTAGAGCCGGGCAAGCATACAGAGACCACACAGAGCCGGGCAAGTAAAAAAACTTTTTTTTTAAAGTATATGTGTAGGCTATATTTGGACCATAAGACGCAGGGACTTTTCCCCCCCACTTCTGGGGGGAAAAAAGTGTGTCTTATGGTCCGAAAAATACGGTACTCATCATGTATCTGGCTTCATGGGAGTCATAAAGCAAAGTCTGAAGAATTAGAACAATAAGTGAAGCTTTCCTCCCCAAAATGTAGCCAGCAAAATTTATGAGACCAGAAAACATGTGCTGCATTAGTTTAGCAGCTCGGAAGGAAGACTTCTGCTCTTGCATAAGCCAAGCCACAGAAGCAGGGGAAACAAGGGTTCCTTCAGGAATTCTTCTTATTCAGTTTTTGAGATACAGCCCTGAGCCTGACCTAGAGAGAATACACAGCAGCAGTCTGTTGACTGATCGAATAAATACATGAATGATCAATGCACAGGCAGCTTTGTAGACCACTCTACTAGAGTCCAGAAGCAAACCATTTCCCTTGCTCATTCTCCCTCAATCTTCCCTCTCTGTCATGCTCCACAGCAGATCAAATATGGTTGCAGATTCTTTGTCATTCCTCCACAGAACATCCTCTGCTACCTGCTCTAATCCGTGACTGCTGGCAGACGTGACTCTGAGTTCCAGAGTCAGGGCCTTAAGACACTGGCCAGTTCTATTTCCTGTTTTTTAAAACCTTCTCTTGGGGAGACCCAAGCTGCTATGTAATATGTGCCATTACTCTGAGATAGCCCTATTAGGGATGCCTTAGAGATGCTCCAGGCTTTACTCCTAGCTAAGCACACTTCTAGCAATCCTGATTGTGGTGCCACACATTTGAGTGATGCCATCTGGGACCCTCCAGACTAGCCTGCCCACTAGCTGAACACCACTCAGTGACCTCAGTCAACATCACAAAGAGCAAAAGAGAAGTCCAGTTGAAGCCCTGCCTAAATTCTAGACCCAAGATGTGTGTAATATCATAAAATGGCTACTGTTAGTAGTCATTAAATTTGGAATAACATGTTACACAAAAATAGATAATTGGAACATATTCCTTCTCTCCTTCTAAAGCTAGCAGAAGCAGAAGGCAGCCATGTTAGTGTAGCTAGTCCTGCTCTCGAGTGGCTCTGCAGATAGTGCAGGCAGAGGCTGGGACAAGAAATTCATTCTATTTGAGAGGTCTGGAGCAAGACATTGGGCCTCTAATGCTTCTAGAGGAAGATTTACCCTAATGGCTAGCAGCTACCTAGCCAACAGCTTTGGCAACAAATGCCACAAAGCACCACCAGGCACCTTGAAGACCATACCTGCCTCATGAGCTCCTCTTGACGCATTCGAATCCTCTCTCTCTCCATCTGGATCCTCTGAAGCCGGAGTTTCTGCTGCTGCTGTTGCTGAGTGGTCAATGCATTGGGCATACTCAGGAGCCCTGCTGTTGGGTTCTGAGTAGGGTGGTTCTGCTGGCTCAGGGTACTGGATGCCATTTGCTGCTGGTGCTGGTGACTCATCACTGTGGAAGGAACATAGGAGATTAATGACAAGGGTCCACAATACCTTATCAAAAGGAAACCATTACAATGTTTGTTACTCAAGAATCTTCTAAAAACTGCTGAGAAACTTGATGAGACCTTCAAGGACATTAATGAGAATGCAAAAAAAAAAAAAAAAAAAAAAAAAAAAAAAAAGGAAAAGGACCAGTCAGAAATTAAGAATACAATGTCTGAAATAAAGAATTTACAGAAACTCAACTGTAGATTAATGTACCCCAAGAATCAAACCAAAGATCTGAAATACAAGGAAACAAAAAATACCCAACCAGAAAAATAAAAAATAAAAAAGGATCCAAAAATATAAATATAGTGTAAGGAGCCTCTGGGACAACTTTAAGCATACCAACATCTGAATTTTTGGGGTGCCAGAAGAAGAGAAAGAGTAAAATATTGAAAACCTATTAGAAGAAATAATGACAGAAAACTTTCCTTACCTGGTGAAAGAAATAGACTTACAAGTTCAGGAAGCACACAGAACCCCAAACAAGAGGAATCCAAAGAGAACCACACCAAGCTACATCATAATTAAAATGCCAAGGGCAAAAGACAAGAGAGAATCTTGAAAGCAGCAAGAGAAAAACAGTTAGTTACCTACAAGGGAGTACACATACAAATGTCAGCTGATTTCTCAACAGAAATATGAAGGCCAGAAGGGAGTAGCAAGAAATATTTAAAGTGATGAAAAGCAAGAACCTACAACCAAGATTGCTCTACCCAGCAAAGCTATCATTCAGAATTGAAAGTCAGACAAAGAGCTTCACAGACAAGAAAAAGCTAAAGGAGTTAATCACCACCAAACCAGGATGACATAAAATTCTGAAAGATATTCTTTAAGAAGAGGAAGAAGAAGAGAAAAGTAAAGATAAAAATTGTGAACAACAAAAAGACATCAAATACATACGTACCAACAAGTGAATCTAAACATCAAGTGAATAACAAGTCTGAAGAACAGAATGGACTGGTGAATATAATGGAATCAGGGACATAGAAATGGAATGGACTAACAATTCTCAGGAGGAAGGAGGTGTGAGGGGTGTGGGAAGAGATTGGACAAAAGTCTTACACCTATGGATGAAGACAGTAGTGGAGGGTAAGAGCATGGGGTAGGGTGGGGAATCAGGTGGAGAGGAGTTATGGGGGGGAAAGAGGAACACCTGTAATAATCTGAACAATAAAGTTTTATTTAAAAATAAAGAAAATTTTAAAAAATCTTATTTCATGCTCTACCTATGTCTAGAATACATTTAAGCCTTACACAGAACATAGTGGTAACAAGTAAATTCTACAAAGATTAGTTAGCACTACATATGGGATCATTTCACCAGGACACCTGGGTGTGGGTGCACTTCCTCAGAATACCCGCGTGTGAATGGTAGAGCTGCAGAAGCTGTAAGCATGTGCTTGCTGGATATGCAGCAATACCTACGGTGAAGGAGAACGCATTGCATATGTAAACAAAATGCCTGGGTCAGAGACCTGTACACAGGCAGGACCCCATAAGTGCTTTGTCAAAAAAGGGTGCCCCAAAGAAGTGTGAGCAGGAACAAGTAACTGATTGAGGAAAAGTATTTCAGTTTTTGCAAAGAGAAAAATTAGTGATAAAAATTTACATAAAAATTTTAATCACGCTTGTGATTGGATAAAGGCATTAGAAGTGTTTTAAGTTTTTTAAGGATTTTTCGTTTATCTGCATTTACTAACATTTTTAATTTTAGAATGACATACTTCACTTTAGAATACAACTGAAAAATCCTTTAATAAATTATATCATTCTCACAAAAAATGCATTTTGAAAGGTGCTAGTTTTTTTCGAAACAGTTTACCAGTCAAATTTGCTTAACTTCTGCCTGGGTGATATAGTATAATAATGAAAACCATGCTTTTCAGTCTATTTGTTCCTAGGTCAGGGCCAAAGACAACAACTTCACACAGAGAGAGAATTTGTTTCTTTAAGGAACAATTAATTTCATGGCAGGAACTTCCTTCAGCTGGGGGGAGAGGGCATTAAAAAAAAAAAAATGTATTGATACACTCAAATCTTCATTGTGTTCCCCACCCCTACCCCACTGTGTATCAGGCAATGGGTTTGTAGTTAGAATAGATAGCTCTTGCCCTCACAAGAACTAATAGGCTGTTGGAAAAAATGTGGAAATAAATGAGGTGGGTTTTATGTGTGGCTGTGGAACACTAGAATGATAGGCTTTGTAAGGAACCTCAGAGATCATCTAACAGAGGTCCTCAAACTTTTTAAAGTGGGGGCCAGATCACGGTCCCTCAGAGAGCTGGAGGGCCGGACTATATGAACTACTAATTCCTACTGTAACACCTCGGCTGCGCTCACTGCCCAAAAAACCTGGCGGGCCGGATCAGACTCCTCTGCGGGCCGCATGTGGCCCGCGGGCCGTAGTTTGAAGACGCCTGACCCATCCCTTCATTTTATGGCAGAGAAGAGGAAACCCAGAGAGGTGAAAGGATGTGCTCTGGTTGGCACAAGAACTATTTTCAAAGTTGCCTCCTGAGACCTAGTCCACCTGTTCTTTCAACTGTCCTTGGCTGCCCTCTGCCTCACCTTAGACTGAAGAACAGGAACAAATGCTCAAACTTCAAGCAACCCGCTAAACATCGGTTGCCTTTGACAGCAAGTCATCAAAAATTGTCCAGGTTACAAACAGAAGGTTTCAAGGAGGGTTTAGCTAGATTGATAATTCTCTGCTCAATCATGAAATACTTCAGGGACAGGAATAGTCTGTCCAGAGTTCAGCTTTCTCTCCCAGAATCAAGCCTACCACAAAAAAAACTCTCACCCTCAGGCACCATCCCAGCACACAGGAGGCTCGGAAAATGAAGTGATAAGGGAGTGAAAGCACCTGGGCATTTCTTATGTTCTTAGCTTGAGAAGAGAAAAAGAGGCGTGGCTGGTGGCAAAATAACTGAGTGTTTTATTTGCATAGCTTGCTAGAGCATAATTACAGTCTCCATTTAAAGGACTGAGGAGGAGTCCAGGGACTGTGCACAAGGGAAAACATGTTCTTCAATACTTTTTCAAGTAAGACAATGTCCAGCTACCAGGAAGGGTTCAGTTCATTAGACCTCTTTCAAGGCAAGGGATGGTGATCATTTCTAAGGATAGTCGTTTCTGAACCTCCTGAAAAAAGGTGCTCCTATTTTTCTGAGATAACTAACAAAACGAATGCCCAATTGTGTCTATAAGAGAAATGTGTAAAGTGAATATTTCTAATATCAGAAACATCAGGTTAGGAAAAAGAGGCTTGTAAAAGTTTTTGTTGGTAGTTCAGAGGTTAACTGTTAATTTTTATAACTCAGATACTTTGAATGTTTTTTAAAAATGACTCAGTTCTGGTAAGTTATTGATATTTCAAATAAATGGGAGCAGAACTATCTTCGGGGGCCTGAGAAGACTCCTGCCAGTATAGAAAATCCTGCCCCAGTTACTCAGTGGACTCTCACTCATCTCCAAACAGCACGCAGACACTGCTCGGCACACTTCATCGATGTCTGCATCCTTATCTGGGGGTGAAAGACTTGGAGACAGCTCTTCCAAAGCCACACCCTTGCTGGTTCTAAAGCACCAGCCACACAGAGCCATCCTAGAGAGGAAAGGTGGGTATGCTGCCTTCTTTCACTTAATTCAGATTTGATCATTCAGACTAGACATCTTCAGTTATTAACTGTAGAAACTAAAAAAGAGCATAACTTAGACTAGGGGTGTCGAACTCAATCAGAGAAGGGGCCAAAATCTAAAATCCAGCCTAAATTGCGGGCCAAATGGTTTACTGAACAGTCATAAACTGTCATTGTGATGGAAACGCAGCGGAGTGCAGTGATGACAGCTCGGTGCAGGCCACATTGCAAGGCCTGGCGGGACGGATTTGGCCCACGGGCCTTGTGTTTGACACATGTGACTTAGACAATGACTTGGTTTTCAAAGTGTGGTACATACAAAACCCATCAAGTCTGTATGAGAATATTCACTACCGTGCAGTCTATAACAGCAAAAGGCTAAAACCTGTCCACAATGGGAGACTGGGAGCCTCGATGAGAGGAGTTGTGTGTGCACTACTGCAGATAATGAGGGAGCTCCTTTCATGGAACAATCTCTAAGAAACATTGTTCAGAGAGGGAAAATTCAAGGGGCAGAACTATTTGCATGAGTTCAACCTATCTATAGTTAGAAAAGGGAAATTTGTGTACACATACAGCAGATCTCTTGAAGGACACAGGAAAACTAGCAATAGTGGTGACACTGGAGAGGAAGCTGGGAGTTGGGGGTAGGAGGAGATCTTCCTTTTCCTCTTCTGTACTGTTTGAAGTTTCTCTATGTGCATTTATTACTTACGTAAAACATAAACAAAATATGAAAGTTAAGAAAATATAAAATAAAACATGGTCATGTATAGATCAAACTCAGTATTTTTCTGGTGGAAAGGTAGCCTCGAATTTATTTGAAAAGTAACAAATAAGGCTTAGAACACAGTCAAGGTCATCAAAACTGAGTGCCCACCCATGTGACTCCTCCTCGTGAACATGATGAAACCAATACTCAGAGAGCGGGCGAGTTAGTCAAGGCCTTAAAAGGGGCGGGGACCTAGAAACCAGGTGTCCTAACTCAATCTAGGTGTTTACAATTCCACCTGCCACTCTGTTCCCTGGAGCTATTCCACTTTAAACTGTCACTGAGCCTTCTCTGAGACTGGAGCTTGTGGGTGGCAGTTGAGGTTCTTCAAAATGCTGCTTTTGTTAGCCACTCAGAGACAGTGTGGTAGAGGAGGCCAAGACAGAAAGACAGAGGGGCCCTCAGAGGCATGGGAAGGCGAAACACCTAAATTTGTGATGAACAAAATACAACTTGAAATATTCCAGAACATTTTAGGGGGCGGGGGAAAGAGCCCAGCTTTTTGTGTGTGTGTGTGTGTGTGTTTTGTTGGTTTTTTTTGTTGTT